CGTGCACTCGAACCGGCGTTTGTTTGCGTACTAACTGAATGAACTCAGTCGCCGCAAGCAGCAAAGCACAGAAACGTGTTGCGCTCATACATACAGAGAGAGAGCAGGAATGAACAGGAGTATGGGTGTGCGAGAGAGGGTGAGTAGGCAAGCGTACGCTTGCGCCGGCAGCTTAGAGAGAGCGCAGCACCAGAGCAGCATGCATGAATCTAGCGCTAAGGAATTTATTGAGAGAGCTCAGAGCTGAGAGCAGACTGAGCGCAGGCATTCAATCAGGCTGCAACTGCATTCACAGCGAGCCAAGTATGCAGCTGGTGGGTGGGCAAACAAAAAACGACATACTCTGAGCAAGGATTTAACTGACTGTTATTTAAATATGGGAACTGTTATTTAAATGTGGATAATAATAAATAAGCAGAAATGCATACAAATTACGTAACAATATAAGAACATTCGTAAAGAACATTCTGTAATATGGAACATGATCTTTATAATATACATACATAGGAATGTAGTAAATATGAAAACAATACCCATTCAGATATTCAGCAATTGTTTAAATATTTAATTATCATATATGGATTCTTGACCATGCTTATATTCTCATTGGATAACTTATAATTTAAGAGATATTTAGTTACATTAAACAGCTATTCCTTTGGCATAAACTGGTATGGGGTGTGTAACTGGAATAGGTCTGTAATCTGTAATCTATAGTCCCACCTACATATGAAAATGTGTATATTTAATATACTATGTCTTAAATCGGTCTAAATCAGTGTAAAAATATACTTATAGATAGAAAATTATATAGATTAGCATGTATTAAGCACTAGACCTATGCAATAAAACGGTATTTATTCATATATACTCTGTAGACAGCTAATATCACTATCTCTGTCAGTCTTCCTCTATCTATCTTTGTTTATATTTAGCACATGTTAAATTCCTATACTAATGTGGAATACGATTCTGCCTTTTATAGCATACGATCTCGTATGCAATATGCATATATGTATATGATCTACATACACATACATATTTTCCTATATAGAGCACTCGCTATAAGTATGGCATTCTGAACTAGAGCCCAGCTTCGATTCGGTGGTCAGAAACAGTTGGCAATGAAAACCACAGTTGGCTCAAGACATGCGAGCGAGGTATGCCAAAGTGTATGTGTGTCTTCGTGTGTGTGTGTGTGTGTGTGTGTGTGTGTGTGTGTGTGTCAGCCAGCTGCCGCTGCTGCTGCTGCTGTTGCTGCTCCTTTGCGCTGCTTACGCCACAAAACATAATTTTCAATTACCTTTCTCGCAGCGTGTGGCTCCTTTCACCTTTGAGTTTTCGCCAAGAAAAGGACAACAAACACACACGGAGACTCACACACATACACACACACACACACACATACGGACGCACACTCTGTATAAACCTTTGTACAATTTAGTTTATTGTTTATGGGACAAGCGCCGCTGCCGCTGCCTCTGCCGCTGTCGACGCGTTGCTGCCGACGCCGCTGCCTGGCTGGCTGGAATGGAAAATGTTGTGGAAAATTGTGCAATTGTTTTGCAATTTATTGGTTGCAAAGGGGCTCAGCATATGCCGCTGCCGACGTCGACGGCGACGTCGCTGCGACGCCAACGTCAACTTTTGTTAAAAGCGCAAATTTATGAGATTTTGCGAGCACACTGAGAATTGGCCAAGGCGACAGCTGTGCGAGCCCAAAAGGAAAGTGACAGAGAGAGAGAGAGAGAGAGAGAGAGAGTGAGAGCGAGAGAATGTGCCTGAGATAGCTATCAAGGAAATGCGTTAGTAGCAGAACTCTTGGCTCTTCCTGTGTCTTGAATGGACATCAAAGGATTTTAGCTAAAAAAAGATAGCGGAAAATGTAGAGTCTGAGCATCTTAAGATCTCAGATCTCAGATCTATATCCGGTATGAAGACCACCATGAGAATCGTTCCTCTCTCTGCACTTTCGCCAACTCAAACTCTAGTTTGGTCAACATTCCTTTGTGCTGTGTGAAGATGTCATACGGAGGCATTGTTGATTGTATAGTTCCGAGCGAAAGTGCCCGACAAACTGCTTCCTATTTGCAGTTTCAATTGTGCGACAAGTATTTCAAAGATCAGCTACGAGTTCTCCTGGGACTAAGGAACGCTGAAGATAATGCTCAGCTTGATGATAGTAGTAATAAAAGTGACAGTACAAATGCCAATGACAATGACAATAACAATACAAATTATGAGTGTAAATAAGATTATAATAATAACGATAATTTCATTGCATACCTCTAGCAATAGCCCACGAAATTTGTGTAATAGCAGATCGCAGCCAAATCCAGGGTATATGCTCGTCGAGCATACTCTTCAAAAGTGCGCGTATCACTTGTTAGCTTTTGAATCGATCTTCATTGGAGCTTCGATTTCCGTTAGCTGTCCCAGCTGTAGACCTACCCTCTAGAGGAGCTTAGCTGGGTATGACGATAATCCCAAGTGTTGTTCCATTTGATCATTTTTCCAATCTGAGCAGCTGCTGCTCCCGTTTTGAGCAATTGGTCAATAACAAAAAAAAAAGAAGAGGAGAAAAGACAAACAAAGAGGCGACTGCTAATGGAAATAAATCAATAATATGATCAAGCAGGAGTAGGAGCAGGACTCTAAGCATAGAACGCGCGCGCGTCTCAAGGGGCAGCTGCTTCGGCTGCCTCTTCTTCTTCTGCTTCTTCTTCTTCTTATTCTGCAGTACCAAAAGGATCCTCACAATAATCTGTCCTTGTGACAGGCATTGAATCAAAGCCAATTTAACGCATTGGTCACTCCAAACGCCCCTGCTCAGAGAGCGAGAGGCGCTGCGAGTGAGTGAGAGAGCGAGAGAGGGAGGGAGATAGCCAGGGAAGATAAATTAGGACGGAGGATCAAATCGGTTCGCTAATAAATTGCCCAACAATTGCGCAATTTCTCATAGCCGAAAAATTGCGAAAATGGAAAAATCGCTTCACGCTTTTGACTACCTTTTTCCTTATTTGTATTTTCTTCCTTATCCCTCACACAGCGCGATAGACAGAGGAGAGGGAGAGGGAGAGGGAGCAAGAGGCATTGCGATAAAGTAGGTAAGGCACGAAGCTAGGGCAGTTCCTTAGCTAATCTTAAGTCGTCAGATAGCGCCAGTTTATTGTATGGCTCTAGCTGGATCCTGGGACAGCTGTAAGGGATTAGAGCCCGAAAAATCGAAGTAGATCGAAGCTCCCCTACATAGGCAACTGAACTCTGATTGATTTGGCCTCGAGCAGAAGTGAAGTGGCGTGGTCTCAAGACGGGGAGGGATTACCTAGACATAAAACACTAGAAGCTAAGACTTTGCTATGTGAGTATATAGATCGATAGACCGATAGATCGAGTCGATTGCTGGAAATGAAAATGCACGTTGATGCTCGTATTGAATATATTAGATGGTTCGGTGGGTGTGTGACAATTGACATTGTAACATATGTTGGACTAGCTTGAAATGTACGCAATGATGGCCTTAAGTAGTAACATTTATAGGTTGAAACTAGAGTCTAGCTGAAATTCAATGCGAATGGGCTGGATGAAATGGATAATATATTGTTGGAATTGTTGCCGTTGTCCCTCTACCTAGAGGTAGTGTACTTTCTTGAAATAAACTTGAGATTAAAATTTAGATTGTATGTGTTGATCAAATAAATGGAAATAAAGGTCGTTTCTTCAGAAGATCATGAAAAGCTCACGCGTTTGATGGAGAAGGCACTTTGCACTTGTTGATCAATTTGTGATGCCGGACTTGAAATAGAAATGGAAATAGAAATATAAATAGACATTGAGTGTGAATCGGACATTTGATTGATTTGATGACTTACAGGTGAGCTTGTGGCGCTTGCCTACCGTTTTCTTCATACGATTGATATCCTTGCGCAGCTTGGTCAACAGATAGCATTGCAATTTGTACATGTGCTCGTTGAAGGCTTGACGCTGGATCACATCGTCCAGTTGGGCGGCCAGCTTCCTGCGAGTCCACCAAGCGGTGGCCAGCCCGATGGCAATGGCGCTTAGCCAGAGTTGGGTTGAGTAGTCCTCCTTCTCCTTGACCACCGGGGGGCACCAATTTACGCGGACGTGCTCCAGCAGTTCCCTCATGAGCTTATCGACTTGGTCCTTCACGACTACGCATAGCAAGATTATTACTTCGGCTAGGCATAGGCAAAGGCCGCAGATTAGATTGTATCGATGCCAGACCATTATGGAAGTAAAAAATTACGGTACTAAAAATCTATATATTTTTGTTGTGTATATAAATGCTCAAAACGAATCTCTGACAACTTTCTACATATGAATGAATGTTCACAAGTTCAGGTATAGCAAAGCAGACACAAAATTCAATGTGAACTTCGATTTTACAGTTATTGGAATCAATTGGCATTTCATACAAATTGAATTGATTTCAATTGCAAACTGCAGCACTTTACTCACACCTTTAACTCCCGCTCACACACACTCACACACTCTGGGCAGCGAGTTCATTTGCGTGTTTTCTTAAGGATTTCATATGCAAACTGCAGCTCTGCATTCACTCCAATACTCGCTCTCTCTGTCTCGCTCGCTCCTTCGCTCATACTTGGACTCCTTGCAGCGGAGTTCATTTGTGTATTTTCGTCTGGCGCGCTCTCCCACAAATTCCAACAGCCAACATGCCAATGCAGCAGTAAATGAATGCCAACGAGAGAGAGAGGGAGAGAGTACTCTCAAAAATGAAGAGAGCATGGGTTGCGGTGGTGGTTGATTGGCTGGACAGAGCTGAGCACGCAACATGACGTGCTTAGCAAGAATCAGTCACATTGCGTCTGCGGCTCTGACAGCACGTCTTGCTCTGCTCCGCATTGCAACGTTTTCCGTTCCGTTTCGTTTCGTGGGCATATAAATTTTTTTTTTGTAACTCTACGGATTTTTTTGGATTATACAAATTTTTTTTGACTGTGTGAAAATAATTTTGGATATACGACTAAACGGGCTACCCCCATTACAAAACCAACAAAATATTTGAAGCAAGGTAAAGATACGACGACAAGTGCATTGTGATTAGCTATTAAAAATGCATTAAATATCTCGACCATGAAGTAGACCAAGAGCAAAGCGTAAAGAGTAATAAAAGGCAGCTCAAGTGTTCTGTGAGAAATTTAATTATAAAACACCCCATTAAATAATCATCGCAATTTTTAATTCATTTCAATACGAAATGCATTCAAATTGTGCGCGTGCGTCTCGTTTGGGTTCGCAATAGTATAGGGTATATATGGGGTATATTGCTCACCTAGACTATGAGTGCTTTTTGTGCAATCCAAAGGTATGAATATGCCTGAGCAACAGCCAAGTCTATCAGATCGAAAGTATTTGTGCTTTCTTAAAGAAGCTAGAAATCTTTTGAGCGAAACAATGTCTATGTTTATATTTTCATATATCTCGAGCTAACTCGCATATTCGATTCGCATTTGACTAGAATTGTTGGATCCTCCGTATAACATGTCATATAGATCATTTGAAAAGTCACTTTTGGTATGCAAAGTTGACAAATCTTCTTCAGATGCTTCTCTATACATTCATAATCATGCAGGTGGTACCTAGTGTAACTTTTCACTTTAAAGTAAATTATATATCGATTCCGACATGTATGCCACATATAGTTGCCTATAACAATTCAGCTCTCCTTGAAGATATTCAGCTGAAATTTGATATTCGTGTTAGTTAAAGCTCAAGGAAACCCACGAATTAATCTGTAGCCCAACTCCTAGATCTTAGCGCCAAGTAATCCCTAGAGCAGCTGATGTGCCTAGGGTATTTATGCTTCAGCAATGCTGTAGTCTTTTCCCTTTATTTTTATTACTTTTATCGAGTTCCATCTGAAGTGCGCTTGAGCGCAAATCGAGGCGGGCAAATGCGCAAAATGCTTTTGCGCACTCTCAAGTGTTTTTGGCTCTTTTCGCGCGGCCACTCGAATCGCATTGCAAATGGCAAGAAACAGGCCGAGGGCAGAGCAAATCTGGCTCGGCTCGGGGCGCAGCTGGAAGCAGAATCTATCCAATTTCTCAACTTCCTCCATTCATTCGATTTAGTTCGTTTTTTGCGCGCTTTCCGCTTTGCAGCTTTTGCGAATCCTTGCAAAAAAAGGAAACTTGTTTCGCAAGTCGAGCGGGTTTCTGTTCTACTGTCATCCTTTCATAGACAATAGCAATTCAGGCCTAACTAGCCTGATCCTTCGTGCGCATCTCTAACCCGTTCCATCTACCTCTTCTCCTTCTTCTTGCAGACTTTTCGCACAGCTGCCAGAATGCTGAAGTGGGCTGTGAACCAGCCGCGTCTGTCCTACCTGGCGACTCAGCCAGACCAGGGAGAGGCAGCTGGAGGCCATGCCATAAGCAGCTACAGCGATTTCCAGCCAACTGCCACGCCCACCCCCATAGCCGCCTCGCGCATGAAGCTGAACGTGAAGCGGCAATCGCTGCTCCACATCCAGATGCAGGCAGATGCGGGCGACAAGGAGAATCAGTTGACCTCCACATTGACGTCGACGCCGCTGCCCGCTTCCTCGGCTGCCTCGGCTGCCTCGGCTGCTGCTGCCCCTCCTGCGCCGCGCTGCACGCCTCTGCTGAGAGACCTGAGCAACATCCTCTCGCCCCTGCACACGCCCCCCCTGAAGAGGACTGCCTATGCGTGCACGCTGCCCACCTTCGAGGCGGAGTACTCGCCCGGCCACCGGGAGAACAAGGATCAGGCGGACAGCCAGCGGGACACGCAGGACAACAGGATCATTCCAGGAGCGCTGCTCGCACTGCGTGGCATGGGCATCCCGGACAGCTACTTCGAGAAGCCGCGCTACCTGCAGCCAGCTGCCTCTACTCCTGCTCCTGCTCCTTCTGCTGCAGCTGCTGCTGCTCCATCAGTTGCCCCCATTGCTGACCAGACGCTGCTCAGCTCCACCCAGATGGGCGACGTAACCTTGGAGCGCATGATCGATGCCATACTGGAGAGCACGCGCAAAGCTCCATCTGCAGCGCCTCGTGCTCGCGCCCGTCCTCATCCCCATCCCCATCCTCGTTCCCGCCTACGCCACATCTCTCGCCCCCGCCCCGCTCCACTCCCGCATATCTCCACGAGCCACTCGCCCACCTATCGACCCGCCTTCGATCCGGCCAGCGACCTGAGCGAGTATTGGCAGCCACCCACCCATCCGGATGTGTACGAAGAGAGGGAAGTGCGCTCTCCTCAGCAGGGAGCAGGAGGGGGAGGGGGATCTGGAGCGGGAGATGCATCTCTGTCTCTGGCGGGCAAGCGACGCTCTCTGCAGCAGCTGCGCAGGCAGCGCGTGGTGAGGCGCAAACGGAAGATCGCCACGAAGATCTCGTCCAGCGTGCGCCACTCGGCGCAGAAGCTACTCGCAGCTGCGGCCCGATCTGCCCACAAGCTGCCCCATCCCCACGCACACTCGCACTCCCGAGCTCCTGGCCAGAGGCACATCAGCCCCGACAGCGGACACAACTCCACCAGCGACTGCGAGCTGGAGCTGGAGATGGAGCTGGAGCTGGAGCATAAGGCGAAGCGGGTGCCGTTTGGCGACTGCGTCCTGGAGGTCGCGACCAAGCGGCGGCTCAGCTTCTCCTTCCACGAGGAGCTCTTCGTGGAGCAGTGAACCTGGTTCCATTCAACTGAACCTTTGGCTGTCTCAAATAATTTTAGCACATTTTTTTTTGCTGTTGTTTTTTTGCTCTTTGAATTTAGCGAAATTGTTGCTAAAAGCTTTCAATTGCCTTCTCCAAATTCACATTCCAATCTAAGACTTTTAATCTCTAATTAAAAATGATTTTTTTTATCGTAATAAAATTGCCAAGATTGTAAAAACAAGAACAAAAATAACGTGAGTTATGTCAATCGAAATGCCTGTGGGAGTAAAAGAGAGAGTGGGAGAGGGGGAGTGAAAGAAGAGCTGAAATGGCGGCATAATTGTTGTCGAAGGAAAAGACTAGGGGATTACATGAGGCTAGTCTGCATATGAAGATCTCTCGGATCTCCAATGTCTGAATATTATACAACAAACATATGCTACAGATGATATATATTGATTTCATCACGGTCTATTCACTGAATGCTGAGTTCGCATAGGCAGTTTAATATGTGTCGAAATTGGTATAAAAGATACATTGAGGCTTAAAACGCATATATAAAAAATTTCGGCAGGATATCTTCATGGAGTGCTGGGTTCGCATAGGCAGCTATATAATATAGCATGAATATTAAGAGCGGGGCAAGCCTACTTTGCATATTTAAGTATCTGTACTGCTTTTTTGCCCCTTGTTGAGGTTATGTTAACCTCAATTTAATGTATACACTTGTGAATCGGGAGGAGCCGACTTGACAATACTCGTTCGAAATAACAAGAATATAAATGCCTTGAAGACGAATGGAAGGATGAACAAACAGTGCAAGATAGACAGCCGAGAGTCGAACAAGCCTCAGGCAGAAGTAAATATATGTATATATAAATGGGTAGACCAAAGGAGAGACGGATTGGTTGCAACTTGATTGACGGCTTGATAAAAGTGGAGAAGAAGAAGGGCTGAAAAGGCCCAACACAGAGTTAGAGTAGATAGAGTAAAACCAATACGCCCAGCTTGCCACTAGGTGAAGGAGCATGGGAACGCTTTGTATTTGTAATATTTGTAGCATAACCGAAATCTAGGCTACAACAATTTGTTCATAAACATAAAACGGAAGGGCGACTAAGCGGAGGTAGAAGCGAGCGCATAGATCGAGGTAGAGGCACGGTAAGGTACGTGAAAGTTGAAGTCGTTGAGCCACCCTCCGCTGGGCCGTCAGTTGTTGAATGCGTCTAGTGCATATCCTGTTCGTATCCTGCCAAGGCATTTACATGGCGTTTATCACACACCTGTGCCGAGGTAGAGGCCCGCTAGTGCCGTGCCAGTGCCAGGGCCTGGGTGGGTGAACGATTTGCATAAATTTGCATTCGACCAGCTACAAATGTGTGCGACTCGCAGGATACGCTAGCAGGACACATGCTGTCGGCTGTACTTTCCGAGAGCGAGGCTCTGGCATTTCGAGCGCCAGCCAACCAGAACCAACTTATGCAAAAGGCAATATGGAACGGCAGCCGTGGCAGCTGGCTGAGATCCTGACTCCTGAAGGATGCAATTCAATGCAATGCGTGGGTCGTTAGCTTCTCGCTGACTCGCCTTAAATCGTCTATTAAATGCGCCTTCAAGCTAAATGCGCCCGCGCCCATTGTTGCCGTCTTCCTCCCTCGCCTCCTCTCCTTGCTCAATTGAGTTTCCTTTAAGGCACAGCAGCTGCCGTTGCCTCTACCTCTGCTGCTGCTGCTGCGGCTGCTGCTGCTGCGGCTGCTTCTGCTCTGATTTGTCACATAAAAGAGTCGCAAAAGATCCTTTAGATCCTTCAGATCCTTGCGTCGGCGTCGGTCGCACACCTTGCACCAATTGCGCCAAAAGGTGGAACAACTGAGAGTCGAGCAAAAAAATAGAGGAAAAGCAAGCGTCTGTTGAGGGTTGATCGACTAGCAAATACCCTGCGCAGCTTATTGTTTATTGTTAGTTGTCTTATAATTAAAGCTACTTAAACTCCATAAGAAATAGTTGGAGCTACTGCTCCTGCTTAGAGATAGGGTATTCGATAAGTCGTCGATTTTGATTTCAATAAGTGAAAGAATGAACGGTAAAATCAAGAATGTAGCAGAATACCCCGCTTGCCCATTCGCTCAACGTACAGGGTATTGCAAGGCAAGCAAATAACAAAACGAGCCCTGGGGACAGCTGTCGTCGCTTGTGAGGGAGTCTCACTCTGTCCGTGTGTGTGTGTGTGTGTATTGTGTGTGTGGCACGTGGCAAGGCAAGGCGTTTGCAAGTTCTCAAGTGTCTGGCAATTGGTTCAAGTGCTACCCAAAAATGGGTTAAGTGCCGGAAGCAGCAGCAACAGCCGCAGCAGCAGCCAAACTGAAGCTGACCAAGCGCAAAAATGCAACAGAAAGTAAACTATATACGTATTATGKCTAAATACTTGAAAGAAACGAAACGAAACTAAGGAAACATATGTATATACTCATACTCAAGACTAAGAGCTTGGTATTGGTATGAAGGAGAATTCCTGAGTTGCTTGATCTAGATTTGATGGATCGTACAATGGAGATCGTAGTATAAGAATCGTTGTATAAGACTATTAGAATAGGGATCTTAGTATAAAGAGAGTGACATAGGAATCTAGAACAAGTTCATGGTATGGAAATCGCATTGAGGATTGTTTTATAAGGATCATGGAATGGAGATTGTAGCATAAGAGCTGTTGTAGTATAGTATAAAGATCGTAGTATAGATATCTTATAGCAGATATCTTAGTGTAAGCGGCATTGCATGCAGATCGCAGTAGAAGAAACATAATATAAGGATCACAATGAAGAGATCACAGTGTGAGCAGCACTTCAGGCGCTTTTCAGCACAGATTCCCGCTGAAGATCTTGCAGGAGAGCGCGAACGCAGCTGGGCAAATGGGAATTGATAGAGATCGGCCCTGAAGGGGCGCTGCAGATAGCGTTGGGCAACTCAATCAATGTCAGACGGGGCAATGTCAGCAATTGCGACTGTCAATAAATGGAGCAGAAGGACGTAGGGCAGGATTCGGCAGGCAGGATCAAGCAGAGAGCGAGAGAGAGAGAGAGAGAGAGAGCAAGGGACAGAGCCCAGTTGACTAATCCCAAGCGACGTGCGCGATAAGTTTCACGACGCCCAGCTGAAGGTATTTTCTATTTTGCCAACTATTTGTATTTGTCAAGAGAGAGAGAGAGCGGGAGAGCGAGAGCGAGAGAGAGGAAGACGAGACGATTAATCAAGGTGACGTGTGCGCATTTTTCGTGCCTCAGCCAACTTTGGCTGCGGCTCGTCTCGGTTTTGTTTTCATTCTTCGGCTGCCAGGGGACATCTTGCCTTGCGGGCACACAGTTCGGGGTTTGTAATTTTTGGCGCGGGAACATATCCTGGCAGACCTGGGCTGCGTCCTGATTGAGTTTTTGTCCTGTGCCGCTCTGCTTCTGTCCGAAATGCGAGCGCAACGTGTGAAATTGGATTTTCATTCAGTTTTTGGCTTACCTTTACCTTTTGCCTTCTCCTTCGACTGGGCAGGGCTAGCTGAAATATTAGCCAAAGAGTTCCTTTGTTGCAGCAGATCGATGCTTATCAAAGTTTCTTAGCTCCTCGCCTAGACTTCCTTTTCGCAGTGCTCGATCGATGGCTCCTTTGTGCCGCTCTGCAGTTGCCCAAGATCGAATTAGGCGATCTTATTAGTGGAGAACGGTGTGAAAGGTGTGCGAGTAGCTGTCTATGTCGTGGCTTACGAGTTAGCAACGGGATGGCATAAAGAATAATGATCTTAGTAAGAGTAAGAGTAAGAGGAAATCCTAGCATAGGGATAGAGGTACAATATGCCAATCACCAGAGAGAGAAAGAGAAAGAAAGATCACATATTCTATCAATAAAATTCAAACTCTACCGATTGTGCAAGACAAAACTCAGATGTGGCTTATTCAAAGACAACTCAGTAGAGCAGAAGTAAGTGCTGAAAGGACTCGAACAAAAGACGCCCACGACCGTCCTGAAAGCCGCTTCGAATGAGGCTTGAAGCGTTTCCTATTGCCGTCGAGGGTTAAAGAAAGTCAAACCACAGGATCAAACGAGTCAATCGATACGCATTTGCATTTCAAAGCCATAGAGTACGATAGAGAGAGAGAGAGAGAGAGAGAGAGAGAGAGAGAGAGAGGTAGAGGTGAAGAGAAAGGGTTGTCCGGATGCTGTATGTAAATGTTGTTTGCCCGACAAACTTTGACACGGACAATGCCAAACGCAAAACTAATAGATACATTAATGCCGATCTCCTGCAGGATAAGCGAAGCGCACGGAGGCAATCAAAAGAGGTGCTCGGGTAATTAAAAATCGTTGCGGGTCAGCGTTTGGGAGAAAAGGGGTCAGAGGTGGTTGGCCAAGATGCTAAGATGCAAAGTTGTTTGCACTTCGGCTCAGGTTCGGGTTTGGCTTTCGCCTAATTGCTTTCCATTGGGGTTTACCGGTTCCCAGACACTTCAGCCAATTTCACTCAGCTTTCGGGAATGCAGTTTGTTTGCCTTAGGGCTTTTCAGATTGTGATTCGATAAACTTTTCGCCTGGGTTCACCCAGGCCTCAACCTCGAGCGGACAAAAGTAAACCTAATCTTGATCTGCTTTTCGTAACTCTATTAGGAAACGTCTTCAGCGCTCGCATCTACAATATCTCAAGTCCATTCAGCAGTGTCTCAATTTGGAAAATTCCCATTTGCTCGCATTTTCCCTATCCGACTCATTTGTGAGGCATTCACTTTCAATTATTCCAAAATGCTCATTGTTCACATTTATGGCTCTCCCTCACTCCCGCTCCCTTCGCTCAGCTCACGCCTCTTGAGATCGAGCCGCAATGTTTACACACAAAAGTTGTCATAAGAAACGCATTAAAAGTTCTTCTCCTCTGCCCGTTTCGTGGATTATTTGGCTAAAGTGCTCGTAAAACTCTATTGGGCTGGGCGCTATTACATGAATACCCGATTACAGTTACAGGACTCGAGGATTTCTTCCCATTTTACGATCGGGCCGCAAGGTTTTTATGGCTCGCCCATAAATCGCGACAAGGATTCGGGACGTCGCGACATCCTTCATTGACGTCCACAGAAATATCATTAAAATCGAGTGGCTGGCTCTTCGGGGCGTGTGGCAAAAATTTAATGACACAAACACACACAAAGAAGGAG